GTGGGTGGGCACCCTGGTCAGCATGCTCAACCTAGGTGTTTGGGACCCGGGCTGCAGGGGTTTGAGGCCCAGGCCCTCAGGGGCCAAGCACCAATCATGGCGGAGAAGTCGCGACGGCTAAAGCCTAAACTCTGACGCAACAAGATTAGTCAAGCTAGGCTGCCGAGACTGCGCAGCCTTGCTGTTGGTCGGCAGATTCCCTACCAAACCTCAGCAAGAAAGCCTAAGCCATAAAGCCTATGTACTCTTCAAACCACAAGGGCGAATTTCCCAGAGGGTAGATCCCATACCTTCCACGCGCTTCGGCAGGCCCACATGGATAGCAACGTGACAACTGCGGCCTACGCATTTATCTCAGTGCAAAGTCTTCACATTTCTCGCTTGAGGGATGCCACAAAAGGGAATTTGCCTTAATCGTCAGGCCCATCAAAGAGTCCTCTACATCAGCATCATTGAAGTTGACATGTCGAGTGAGACCATTCCACGTCCACTGTGTAAAACTTAGATATGCTTCTCCTGGGACTCAGGCTGCAGGTAAATGATTCAGAATTTGGCAGGTGGACTCACAAGCCCCTCTTTTCTAAGACAGTCCTTTTCAGGGGCTTCAACAAAGAGTTCTGCATTTTCTTCAGTCGGATAATAGTTATCACGCACTTATGGAGAGCCTCTCATATGGCCCCTACTATAAACTGTTAATTGGTACGGGCAGGACCCAAGATATATACTTGTCAGCCACAGGTTCAGAGATTCCAATCTGGGTAGGACCCAAGATATACACTTGTCACCCACAGCTTCAGAGATTCCAATCTGGCCTTCATCGTATCCTTATGCACTTCCTTGATCTTACCTATGTGCTCCTTGTGGCATACCCACGCAACCTATTATCCACTTCCAGCCCTGAAACCTGAAAGCTCGAGTCTCTGAACAATTGAAAGTCTCTGAACATAAGCCCCAACTTCCAAACTCTAGAAATCCTCCTTAAGAACAAAATCCTAAATCCTGAGTACTGATGGTGATCTACCCAGGACCAGTTTAAGCTGGAGATGGCCGGCAAGTCATGCATGGTGCGGCCTTCGTTGAAAGTGAAGAGTTCAGTGTTTAGGGTTCCGGGTTAGGGTTCAGGGTTGGAGGTTTAGTTTAGGTTTGGGGTTTAGTGTTTGGGGTTCAGGGTTTAGGGTTTGGGGTGGACGGTTTAGGGTTGAGGGCTCCGGATTCAGAGTGAGATTGCATGGATTTTGGAAACCCCTTCTTCTCGATGTGCAAGGACTATTCACGGATTTCTGAGTCTGGGCGTAGGATTGAAAGGACTAGCAGACTAGCTTGAAGTCCAAATGCGTACGCGCAACCAATTCTGAAACTGTCCCATTGAGCGTTGTGATGTGATGCCAAATGCCCAGAAACCGTAGTCTGAGTGGCAGGCTACCCTAAACCCAAGCTCTAGTCCCTATAGTTTGCATTTCATTTTCCATTATCCCAATTTTCATCCCTATATAACACCAATCCATACCCTATCATAATATGGCAGTTTCCATTTTCTTTTCCATCATCCCAATATTACCTCAATATATCCCGTATACAATCCCTATATAACCCCTATATAATCCCTATAACCCTGAGTAGTTTCCATTTGGTTTTCCATTATCCCTACTATAACTCCCTTATTCCCTACTACCCCCTATATTACCTCAATGTATCCTAAACCCTAAGCCCTAAACCCTAAACCCTACCCCTATATCAGCCTATATCCCTCTTTGGCAAGGTCCACGGCTTTGCCCCGTTGCTGAGCAATCTGTGCAAGTCCATCGCCATTGATGAGGAAGATGAGGACGTAGGGATTACATATATATATATATAGAGGAACTATATTAGGCTTATATTGGGGTTTTATTAGGGTTATATTGGGGTTAAATTGGGGTTATACTGGGATAATGGAAAATAAGTTGGAAACTACTATTTAGGGTTTAGGGTCTTGTGAAGCTCTAGATGCCCAATCCCTGAACAAAATGCGCCCCGAATAGTAGACCGCAAAATCACCTTTGAAATTATTGAGGCCCCTACGTTACATAAACCAATTAGCGACCACCTATATACTTAAGCACAATCTCCATTTCATCTCATATGTGTTTTTCCCATTCGTTTCTCCATTGTCAGGGTAATATCCCTAGGCCTGATATAGCACCCACATATCATTTAATCCTTTAACCCTAAACCTCAATAGCGAAACCCTATACCCTAAACCCTATATAAACTCAATGCGGTGGATCAGCTGTTGCTCTCACGCTGGTGCAGGACGATGAGGATGCTGGAGAATCTGACAGTAAGCCCCAGTGGAAGAAGGCTTGGTGCTTGCAGTGTGACCAATTTAGGGAGTATGTAGGGATTATAAAGTACTATATGAGCTATAGTCTAAACTCCTCTAAGGGGGGTTATATAAGGGATTATATAGGGGACTACTATAGGGGTTATTAAGGGGGATACTAGGAGTTTAGACTATAGCTCATATGGGATTATATAGGAAATCAGACTACCGGGATGATATAGGTTAGGATGGGGTTCATGGGTTATTACAAGGTACACCGAATGTAGGCTGAAGTAGCTAAAGCCTTGGAGCTGTTCTTCTGATTGATTTGGGGTTGAGGGTTTAGGCGTCAGGGTTTAGGGTTAGACAGAGTACCCTGGGCAATGAGATGTGTAGATAGAGCTCGTTTATCCTTGAGCGTCTTGATGTGCCCAGGGGAGGAGCATCCGTAGCCAGTGAGATTGAGGCTTAGCAGACCTCAGTATGGTTTAGGGTTCAGGGTTCTGATATTCTGGTCTTTCCACGACCCTAAACCCCAAAGCCTAAACCCTGACTCCTTCCCCTTCATGAAGCAACCTTACCTGATCCCCATCGAGCTACACCACTAATATAAAAGGGAATATTCATGTAAATCCCAATACCATTATTAAGGGTTTAGGTAAATAGAATGAATACGAACACTAGCACTAGCATTAAAGAGCCACGTGATCCGCATTTAACGGAAATTTCTTGTCGGCTCAGCCTAAGCCTACTGTTTGCCTCCGGTTTTGCGCCGTCCTCCTCGCTCGTCCGCTGGCCGCACCTGGAGTTCAGGGTTTAGGGCATTTTGGACTCAGGGATTAGGGTTTAGAGTTTTGGATGCAGGAGTTTTCGGTTTAGAGGAGTTCCGATCTAGGGAATTGGGGTTCTCTATAAGGTAGTTTCCCAAAATAAGGGGACCCCGATATAGACCCCAAAATACTATAGTCCTTATTATTGGGACCCCCAAAAAGGTACCCCATAATTTTGGGAAACCCCCATAATTCGAAGCCAAGGAAGAGCTATGGATGGTGGAGATGGCGATGCGGACGTTGCATCCCATGCCAATGCTCAGGAGTTCTTGTTGATCATGGTTTCCATGGGAGCACTTGCGCAAACCTTTTCTTTACAGTTTTATCAGTATAGTGTCGTAGGGAAGCTTGATTCGGTGCATTCGAAGATTTATGACCCTAGGTACCTTCCATATTGGGAATCATGGGCTTTCAGTTTAGTACACGATCATGCAAGATTTATTATTAATTCTAGTGTACAGGTAACAAACATTATCATAATCAGAATGCATGCTCCGCCCCGGCTGCTGTGTTGCAGCAGGCAGAACGATGCAAGGGAGCTTGTAGCAGTCCCGGCAACATCTGTGAGCTTCTCAAAACGACGTGTCTCCTCGCTATAGGGGGAATATGCGGGTCCTTGTCAGGGTTATTTATGGCGTCTAGCACGAGAAACCGCCATCTGGCGTGCCGGATGTGCAAGAGGGTTGTTGATTTTCCTGAGCGCGAAAACCATTTCAAATCAACATTCTGTGCGACATGTGCAAATGGCGTAGAGCATCACAGGCTCCGACAGTGCAGGAATCAGCGGTTGCGCTGGACAACCTTACTAACGCGGATTTTTGCATCGCAGGGAAGTCAGGTAGAAACCACTTGGAAACAATAGTTAGAGCTGGTAGAGGAAGCAAGCAGGGAGCGCTGGCTGGTTAGGAGCGCCCTGAAAATTTGTATCTTGTCCTACCCCCCTTCTATATCTACAAATCGGGTGCTCTCATTTGGCGGAGAAGCAGCTCATACGAATTGGACGCATCGTGCTAGAAGGTTCTCAGACGCGCAACAGGCTTTCAGACAGCTTATTCACGCATCAGCGGCTGGTTCCAGCGCGGACTGCAAGTTAGTACGAGCTTACAGTAGTCTTGCAACAGCCAAAAGAGCAGCCAACCTGTAAAGGGGCTGTCGGTAGCGCTTTCAAGTGCCAGGATACTCACTCATGGAAGCATAGATGAATGTCATTCCAGTATAGGATTGTGGGAAACACTCGAAGACACTTCCCTGACCACACTGTTCCTTCGGAGACTAGGGTCTCGCCCAGAGCATGGCAGCCGCTAGTTGAGCAAATATGCTGATATCCAGATGCGTAAGCGCCTGCTTGAGCAGGGCGTGTGGCCCTGGCCAAACAATTGGCCTGAACAATATGACTGGAATGATTTACGTTTCATCAACATGTTGCCTCAAGACAGATCCTCGTTGAAAAGGTGGACGGCTCAAAATTAGATTGCCGGGTGTTTGCAGGCTGTGCTGGGGCTTCAGCTGCCCTCCAAACGGTTCCCACATCGCTCACCCCTTTCTGAGGGTATTCGAGTGCCTCCAAGCTAAACGTGAACCAAAGAGTGGGGGGTCGCTTGGTCAGCACGCATCCCGAATGAATGTACTCCGGCAATCACAGGTTTTATGATTGTGAAAGCACATTGGGAGCATGGGGAGAATACTACAGGTAAGGGCAGAAGCCAAGAGGGAACTTCCGCCCTAAACCCTAAACCCTAAACCCTGAACCCTAAACCCTGAACACTAAACCCTAAACCCTATATAACCCCTTTAAGGAGTTTAACGCTCTGTGCCACCGCCGCGTTGAAACGCCATGCCCTCACTACACTTGCCACTAAGACCACCACCATCCCCACGCACCTGACCTGCCATAAGACATCCTCCATCAGAGCTATGGTCTAAACTTCTTAAAGGGGGTTATATAGGGGATTATATAGGGACTATTATAGGGGTTATTAAGGGGGATACTAGGAGTTTAGACTACAGCTCATAAGGTCCACTACAGTTGGATCACAATGATGATCCTCCTCCTCCTGGGGTTCTGCTCGTACCTCGCGCACCGCAAGCAGCCAACCACTCGCAGGACTCAGCCTCGTTTGTTTTTGAAAGCCCATTGTATATCTGCGATAGATCTCATGGTATTTGTGTTGCCATCTTATTCTGTTGCTTTACCGCCATGCGTCGAACATAACTATCCTTCTGAGCATCCTTGTATCCGATAATGTCCGGTCAGTTGTTTCGGAGTTGTTGTCGTAGCATGGCAGTGTGAAGACCTGTTTAGGCAACTTCTTCGAAGGGATGTGTCAGTGTAACCACAAAGATGAGGTCCAGAAGACAGGCAAGCTTTGTCAGGGAAAGTTGCATGGATGGGATTTGCCAAGAGCCAAGAGAACGGCACTTGAGACGCAAACGACGGTCGCTGCTGCAGGAACTTGCAGGAGTGCTGCGCATCTGCGATAATAAGGAACCTCAACTCAAGGCCTCTGCAAGGGTCCCACCCCTTGCACCATTAAAGAATGTTCTCTTTAGGAACATGTGTGTTGGCTGTGCAGCCCCAGGAAGTCTGTGGGAAGTCATCATGAGACTGTGCAGCACACTCCTGGGTTGCTGGCACACGGTGGCTATCCCTTCATCGTTCGAGGGCTTATTGGTACGGTCTTCTTCATGCCTGGCCCTGAGCATACACCTACTTGGAGGGTTAGGAGGGGGGGATTTTTTTGGGACTTTAGTAAGTAGGTTAATTTTTGGGGTATCTAGGGTTACCGTATGGGTTATCCCTACAAGATGGATGTCTCCACGGGCGACACAGTGCATGTGAGTCTTTCTGCACATCCATGAGCCTAGCTTTATGATATTCCGTGTTGGCAGGGAACGCCTACCCCTAAATAATTATTTCTATGATTTTATGATTTTTTATGATCAGAATTATGGCCGTAGGAACCTCCCAAATCAATATGTGATTCAATTTCAGTCTTGATTTGCTCCGGCTGACAAAGAGTACAAGGTCAGCTAGCAGCTAGCAGTTCCAGAAGAAAGGGAGGGGGGCCTAAGAAAAATTGGTTTGGGAAAGCCCCGGCGGTTGGGGCGTCATTTCAGGGAGCTGTGTTTGGGCTGGAGGAGGGGGTCTGGGGGAAGCTGCAGGAGCTTTCAGGGCTGGAAGGGCCTGGAGGTTGGGGAGGGGAGTGCCGAACGCACCATAAAAAAAATCATAGAAAATCATAGATAAATCATAAAATCATGGTCCAAAATCATGAAAGAAGCATAACATAATCATTACAAAGTCGTAAAATAGTCATAAAAAAGCATAAAATAATCATAAAACATCATAAAGCACTGTGTTTTATGATTTTTCAGATTTTTGGGTCCCACCCAAAAAAATTCCGCACCAGAAACACGAAAATTCCGAAAAAATCGACAGAAAGCACATCCATTTCGGTTTATGACTTGCTTTCAGCGCCATCCGGCCCCTCTGGTCGGGAGACGGCCAGACACTTGTCCCGCAAAAGGCCCCCCAGGAGCCATCCCACCATTTCCTCTCTGTAGGGCCAGCCATGCAGCTGCGCTTTGCTTTGGAAACTGCTCTCTAGGTGCTGTAGCAACCCCCAAGCCTGAAGATGTAATTCTTGAACTGAGTTGGCCTTCAGAATTACCCCTCTAACTCTGCGCCCGCCCTTACAGGTACCAGCAACTGTCTGCATGTTTGGGCTCATAAATGAGAATCGAAAGAAACAAGAAACCATAATAAAATCATAAAAAATATGATAAAAATCATAAACACAAAAACCACCAGAATCGTTAATAATCATAAAATAATCATGAAAATACTTATTCTTAAGATTTCCGTTCTCCCAAGCCTTAGAAAATCATAAGCCTAGCTCTTTAAAGATCTTCAGATTATTCGTTGTGGTCTGTGTCGTGGTAGTTGTATGTAGTTGAAGTAGTCCTAGTCGCAGCAGCTGCAGCTAGCAGACAAAATAGAAAGTAAACTGTTGCTTTTCACTTCGACAACTTCAATCATCGCTATTTCTTGTGCTCCAGTATCAGGCCGGGCTAAAGCTCCTATCATGTGCTGGGATTAGGATTTGGCTCCTTGAGTTCTGATTCCAGGGAGTTCCAATTAGGAGCCGTAGACCGTCAACGGCCCTATACCAAAGACGCTAAACCCTGAATGCGAATCGCTGCATGGAGTGTTTCTGAAGAGTGTCATCTGAGGGCGCCTTACCAAGTCTTTCGTTCGTACGGGCGTTTCAGAGAGGCACCATGCAAAATCCAAACCCTAAGCTGGGTTGCTGTTAAGGAACTTAAGCTACGTTTCCATATTATGGATGCATAGTAAATAATGGGGTTTCCTTATGGCAGTATCTTAGTTTAAGTTCTTTAGCAGCAACTGCAACCCAGTAAACCGTGTAAGGCTGGGTGTCTTGCCACTGGTCTTGATCATCTGCTCGACAGTACTTGGTCTGATCCTGGCCGCCGTGGAAGGCTGGGAAGCGGGGATTGGGAGCCTTGGCCGACTAGCATGGTTTTGGGTTCTATGGGTGTTATATGGGTGTTATATGGGGGTTATATTGGGGTTAGCTGGGGTTTGTATTGGGGTTTTACAGGGGAGTTCTAAGGTGTAGGGTTCAGGGATTGAGGGTTTTGGGTGGATGGTGGATTTTACAGGGATGAGAGATTTGAGTTTAATGTGTCGGGCTCGCTCATTAGGGACTTAATTCGAAGATTTGTTAATTACCAGCTGTTAGTGCCCATGTTGCCATCTGCTGCTTCTGGTGCTGCTGTGTCATCATTCTGCTGGTATAGCCTCTCCATATTCTGAGTTGTTGCTTCAGCTGCTGGCAGCTAAGTGTGGAGTACGTTCTGTCCAACGTCCTGGGCATGACTGCGCCTCTGACGAGCGTCGTGCCAGAGGGCAGCTTCGGCATTCACTTCGCGATCATCCTGAACATGTCACTCGTTCTCGTTTATCTATGCTGACCCTAAGAGCTGTGCCTGTAGCAACAGGGGCAGCAGGAAGAGACCAGAAGCAGTTTCAGCTTCTAGGAACTCACTGCTGTTTTATTCATGCCTTGATTGAAAGGCTCCTTGACAGCAAACATTGCCCAGGTATGCTGTCGTTATGGTGACGACTGCTATGGGCCTGGTTGCCAACATGTCATTGATGCAGGCCATCACGGAGAGGGTCCCGCAGGGAACCTGCGGATTCATATGCTTTCTCTTCTTCGTGGTGCCTGCCTCATTCAAAGGGACTTAAGGTTCTTTGCTGGCAAATATCGTTGAAGTCAGTGTTGTGGTCCTTCCTACTGCCATTCTCATTACAACTTGACAGGCTGCTGAGGCTTATGTTCTGCTACTGTTCGCAATGTTGGCCGTGACAGGTATGATTCATCGCATGTCGTGCAGATTGGCAAAGAACGCTGAAATTTGGACTGGAGCTTCCCCAACGGATTGCCTTGCAGTCCCCAGCAGAAACCCTCGTAATGACTCACGCTCCCAGCAGGACTTCTCTACTCCCTCAGCCTCCTGAAATCCTAAACTCTACGCACGCCGCATGCCGTCTCACAACCAGCTGTAACAATTTCGATACTCATGAAGGCAGTAGCAATACGACGGTAACAACCGTGATAGCAATAAAAACAACAACAGTTATGATCATAATGGAAAGAGCAGCAATACCACAATATATCCCTGAACCTTAAACCCCACACTCTAAGCCCTAAACCCTAAACCCTAAACAACAGAAGCCCTCGCCCTAAACGCTAAACCTTAGACCCTAGACCCAGGTGCCTCTTTTCATGTTCGTCACCACCGGGATCATCGGCTGCATCATGGCGCTCTGCGAGGGTTGGAATGTTACGGAAGGCCGCCTCGCATAGAGTTTACTTGCTTGTGTAGGGTTCAGGGTTTACGAAAGAGGCACCTGGGTTTAGGGTTTAGGGCTTCCATTGTTTAGGGTCTAGGGTTTAGGGCTTCCATTGTTTAGGGTTTAGGGTTTAGGGTTTAGGGCTTCTATTGTTTAGGGTTTAGGGTTTAGGGCTTCTATTGTTTAGGGTTTAGGGTTTAGGGCTTCTATTTTTTAGGGTTTAGGGTTTAGGGCTTAAGATTAGTGGCTCAGGCTGTGGTGACCGCATAGGATGCTCGGGAAAACACCCAGCCTTAGGCTGCTGGCACCGGCGCGTAGCAGTCAACCGACCCCATCACCACCCGGAGCTCGAGCAACGTAGGGTTATATAAGGGTTATACAGGGGTTATATTGGGATAAGGGGAAATACACTGGAAACCCTAGGTCCGTTGAAAGGGATATATAGGGTTATATAAGGGTTATATAGGGGTTATATTGGGATAATGGAGAAGAAAATGGAAACTACTATAATGGGATTAGGGTATTATACCCTAATCCCCTTATAGCAGTTTCCATCTTATTTAGTAATATCCCAAGATAACCCCTATATTATAATACCCTAATCCCATTATAGTAGTTTCCATCTTCTTCTCCATTATCCCAATATAACCCCTACATAACGTTTTATCCCTTTAAAGGGACCTAGGGTTTCCATTGTAGTTCCCCTTATCCCAATATAACCCTAAACCCTATATTAGCCCCATTGCTATTATTATGATAGGCATCCTGGTCGGGGCCAGGCAGCACTGCCGGGGCCCGCAGTTCAATTCATGGGGGACCAGCAATCATGTGACCTATAGTCTAAACTCCTGGTCTGCCCCTAAATAACCCCTAAGGTAGTCCCTTATAGAATCCCCTAAATAAACCCCTTTAAGGAGTTTAGACTATGGCGGATGTGCTTGGAGGTTCTGGCTTTCTGTGAGGCTGTTATGCCGGATAGGTGGACATCCAAGGCCACGCAAGGACCGTCATGTTGGGTTACTTCCAAGGCTGTGTGGGACAGCGGCGCTCTCAATGGGTCCGCGAGGCAGTTCTGCTGGATAAGTTGACATCCAGGCCACGCAAGGACCGTCAGCGTTCGCGACGCGACGCTGGGACATTTCCGAGGCTGCGGGACAGCCGTGCTCTCAATGGTGATGGTCAGTTTTGGCTTTCTGTGAGCCTGTTGTGTCGGGGTACTTCCGCGGTCGCCTGGGCGCAGCGCGGCTCAGGCGGTGAAAATAGAGGTAAATAGGGATCAAAGAGAATGGAAGATGATATGGATGTTGGGATTACAAGGTAGTTTACAGGGTATCCTGGTAAGCAGAGACTCCTGAAAGCATTTTCTAACTGGGAGAGTTCCCCCCATGTAATCTCCATACTTTTATACACCCGTCCTCACCTCCGATGTTCGATATTCCCTATAAGACATTTTATCTATTGGCGGACATGTTCAATATTAGGGGGCATGATAAATCAACATTCGTTCTTCAGCCACTCTTCAGCCCACATAGGATCCCCAGCAAAGGTTCCAAAGAAACTGTGATCTGGCTCATGTTGCATTGGAAATGTCAGGGCACGGAGCCTTCTCAGTTGTCCGTCCACAGAGTATGTCTCCCAAAAAGTACTCCAAATCTTTATTCCCATTCCTAGCTTGCAGGTTCCATGAATAGGGTCAGATGTTGGACCAGCGGAATGGTAGTGTGGATTCTTCAGGTGATGGGTACTGTAGAAGCCGGAATGATGGAAAAGACATTCTTCCCGTATTATCGTTGTGCAATCACGGTAAAAGAGATCCCATGATGTGTTCTAAGTAGTAAGGCCCCTACGGTACCTTCATAGGAGTCCACGGGCATTGATTGCTACAATTGGGCTACCCTGAAGAAATCTTGTTGTCGATGAACACCCTGGTGAAATCTCTCAGCCCGAAGCCAGAAACCCCCCGTCTTCAGAAGCTCTGGTTCTAGCATCCGATTTTTTTAAGTACCATGCGCGGGATAAATATGAATACTCTAAGAAGTGCCTAAACCCTAAACCCTACAATATAGTGGTTTCCATCTTATTTTCAGCTATCCCTATATAACCCCAATATATAACAGTAGTTTCCATTTTCTTTTCCATTATCCCAATAGAGCCACGTCTTTGTAGCTCAAAGCAGGCTATTACTTCATGGCTGCCTCAATGGCCAGTTTGGCCAATCCAGTTACGAACCTGGAGCCCGAGACTGCCTCCCGCTTAGCCTTAGGGTTTAGCGTTTAGGGTTAAGGGTCTAGGGTTACAGTTGCGAGTATGTATATATTGGGGGTGTCTTAAGATTGGGATACCTTTTTGCTAAGGATCATAGTATATTGGGGTTTATATTGGTGTCCCC